CCAGGATGAACCTGGCCAAGGGCGGCGGATCTGTATCGCCGCCCCAGATAGGCAGGGAAGTGGCAGGGGGGGCCCGCGTCGGACGAGGGCGGGGGGGGAGGGAGAAGCGGGGCAAAAGGGCGATCAACTCACGCGGCTGGCTCTCCTGGCGCCCTCCCGGCGCCAGAGGCGCTCATGCATCGAGGAAAGCCGCGCGGCGGAAGCACGAAGGCCCCTGCATACAGCAGAGTTATGCCCCCACCCCCTCCTCCTCCTCCTCCTCCTCCTCCTCCCCTCCTCCCCTCCTCCTCCTCCTCCTCCTCCTCCTCCTCCTCCTCCTCCTCCTCTCCTCCTCCTCCCTCCTCCTCCTCCTCCTCCTCCTCCCTCCTCCTCCTCCTCCTCCTCCTCCTCCTCCTCCTCCTCCTCCTCCTCCTCCTCCTCCTCTCCTCTCCTCCTCCTCCTCCTCCTCCTCCTCTCCTCCTCCTCCTCCTCCTCCTCCTCCTCATCCTCCTCTCCTCCTCCTCCTCCCTCCTCCTCCTCCTCCTCCTCCTCTCCTCCTCCTCCTCCTCCTCCTCCTCCCCCTCCCCCTCCCCCTCCCCCTCCCCCTCCCCCTCCTCCCTCCTCCTCCTCCGCTCTCCTCCTCCGCCTCCTCCTCCTCCTCCTCCTCCTCCTCATCCTCCTCCTCCTCCTCCTCCTCCTCCTCCTCCTCCTCCTCTCTCCTCCTCCGCCTCCTCCTCCTCCTCCTCCTCCCTCCCTCCTCCTCCTCCTCTCCTCCTCCTCCTCCTCCTCCTCCTCCCCCTCCCTCCTCCTCCTCCCCTCCCTCCCTCCCCTCCTCCTCCTCCTCCTCCTCCTCCTCTCCTCCTCCTCCTCCTCCTCATCATCATCATCATCATCATCATCATCAGCATCATCATCATCATCATCATCATCATCATCATCATCATCCTTCTCCTCCTCCTCCTCCTCCTCCTCCTCCTCACTCGGTACTTTTGAACAGGCCCTCCGCGCTCAGCCCGACAAGGACAGAGGCGTCGACAGATTAGTTGCTTCTGATGTGCGAAGATTGCCGCCTGCAGTCAGGCAGTTTTTCATGAATATGTTCAATCAGATTGAGCAAGAGGTTGCATGGCCTCACCAGATCCTGCAGGCCATAGTGACGTTTCTGCCCATGCATTCGAACATACTACTCCTGTAGAGGGGCGTGCGCGACTCAACACTGGCACCTGCCTGATCTCAGAAGGCCCCCCCGCGTCGCGCCGCCCCCGCCCGCGCGCGCGCCGCCGACCTGCCCGATATCCCCGAGCGCGGGCGCGCGCCGCAGCTCAGAGGCGCCGCGCTGGGGCGGCCCTCGGCTTCGGCCTCCGCGGCACGCCGGCCTCCGCCCCGTGCACGGGGGAGCCGAGGGGCCCCGGGGACTTGAGGTGGGCGGGCAGGAAGCCGAAGGGCGAGCCGGCCGCGAGGGGCGAGGCGGCCATGGGCGAGCCCTCCGCCATGCCCGTGGGGGACGCGGTCGGCGACAGGGCGACGGGCGCCGCCTGCGGGATGGACAGGCAAAAGAGCAGCCGGGGCACAACCTGATCGGAGGTCCCGCGCGGATCTCGTCGGTCGGCGCCTTGGCCCCCCCCTGGCGGCGCCTCTGGCGCGGCCCCTGGCGCCGATCCAAGAACTCCGCGCAAAGTTACGAAAAAGTTGAGCGTGGTGCCGCTCCTTCCGAGGGTCCCAAAACCGTGTGGTGACAGACCGTGCGGTGACCTTGAAATCTCGCAGGACCTCTCCGCGTGATCCGTCCCCCCTCGGTTTTGGGACCCTGGAGGCCCCACTCGCCCGAAACGTCCTCGGAGAACGACCCGAGTCCCAAAAATGGCATGAACATAAACATTCGGAGGTCCGCACGGATCTCTCGGATCGGCGCTGGACTCCCCCCCCTCGCCCCGGCGCGCGTAGCGCGCCAGGGGCGGCGCCGGAGGCGCCGCCAGGGGGCTCCAGCGCCGATCCGAGAAATCCGCGTGGGCCTACGGAAATTGATCAGAGTGAGGCGGCCGAACGGTCACAAATAGTCCCTGGGTGCGTGGCTGAAGTGAGACTCCGTGGTGAGGATTCCACATGTGTTGTGTTAGGTGTTTGGTGTTGCTGTTGATGTTGTTATTGTTGTTGGCATTGTTAAAGTTATTGTTACTGCTATTGTTAGTGTTAGTGTGATTGTTATGTTGTGATTGTTAGTGCTATTCTTAGTGTTATTGTTATTGGTATAGGTATCATTATTGATATTGGCATTGGTGTTGGTGCTGTTTGTGTTGGTTTTGTTGTTGCTGTTGTTGCTGTTGAATGCAAATAACTAAAAAAATAATATTGTTGGAGGCGCTTTGGCGCTCTCGCCGAGGCACCGGCTACATTTTCACTGAAAATGAAGCTCACGCTCGAGCGGTTTAGGGGACCGCCAAAACCCGCTCCCCAACAACAACAACACTCCCGCTCGCTGGTGTTCTTGCTCGCCGCCGAAAGCCGCCGTCCTAACAAAACCAGCGTTCCCGCTTGAGACTTCCTCCAGTTTTACCTTGGACTGGCGCGCTAATCTTTCTCTCATCGGCGCCGCCCCCAGCAAAACGACGTTCCAGCTCGAAGCTTCCTCCTTTCGCCGCCGAAAACCGCCGCCCCGACAAAACCAACGCTCCCGCCAGAGACTTCCTTTCGTTCTACGCTGGACTGGCGCCCAACTCTCTTTTGAATGGGCGCTGCTCTCAACAAGAACAACGCTCCCGCTCGAAGCTTCCTCCCTTTTTCCTGGAGACGGCGCTGTTCCTCGCCGCCGACAACCCTCGTCCCGACAAAAACACGGTTCCCGCTGGATGCTCCCTCCCATTATACTCAAGGCGGTGTTCCTCCTCGCCGCCGAAAACCGCCGCCCCGACAAAACCAGCGCTCCCGCCCGAGACTTCTTTCCGTTTTACGCTGGACTGGCACCAAACTCTCTTTTGAATTGGCGCCGCTCCCAGCAAGAACAACGCTCCCGCTCAAAATGTCATTTTGTTTTTCCTCGGGACGGTGCTGTTCCTCGCCGCCGCCAGCCCCCGTCCCGACAAAACCACGGTTCCCGCTCGATGCTTCCTTTCTTTTTATTCAAGGCGGTGTTCCTCCTCGCCGCCGAAAACCGCCGCCCCGACAAAACCAGCGCTCCTTCCCGAGACTTTTTTCCTTTTTACGCTGGGCTGGCGGCAAATTCTCTTTTGAATTGGCGCCGCTCCCAGCAAAAAACAACGATCTCGCTCGAGATGTCCTTTCTTTTTCATCGGGACGGTGCTGTTCCTCGCCGCCGACAGCCCCCGTCCCGACAAAACCACGGTTCCCGCTCGATGTTTCCTCCTTTTTTACTCAAGGCGGTGTTCCTCCTCGCCGCCGAAAACCGCCGCCCCGACAAAACCAGCGTTCCCGTTCGACACGTCGTTTTGTTTTACGCTTGACTAGCGCCCTACTCTCTTCAGCATTGGCGCCGCTCCCACCAACAACAGCATCCCTGCTCGAAACTTTCTCTCTTTCTATTCAGGGCCAGGTCCTTGCATCACCGCCGACAGCCCCCATCCCCACCAAGGCAATCCTGTCGTTCGATGTTTCCTTGTGCTTTACCCTTCGCTGGGATGCCACTGGCGGTCTCGCATCGGCGCAGCAAGGCGCGGGCATGTGTTTTCGACGCGGGATATGTTGAACTTCCTCGGAGAAGGTGTTTGCAAAACCTCATTGGGCGGGATATCTGGGAATGGGAATAACGGACCCCGCTATAGAACAAGAGTCCCCCATTACGTGGATGGTTATCATGATGGTCGCATGCTTCGTGTGGAAACATCGCGCATGAGGCTAAAATGATTATTGTTGTTGGTGGTGTTGATGTTGTTGTTGGTGTTGTTGGTGTTGATGCTGCTGTTGTTGTTGGTTGTTGTTGGTGGTGTTGGTGTTGGTGCTGTTGTTGCTGTTGAACTCCTACTTCTGAAGAACAAGTATTGTTGATCCCCCCCGTCCGGTGCACATTGATTTTTCGATTGAAATGCCTTTCTGGGGCTCGCACCTGTTTTTTATCAAAGAAAATATTGAAGGTCAATCTGCACTGCTGGCCCCCGGCTTACAACAACAACGGCTCACGCCTGATACTTCCTCGCAATGTTTTGAAGAATCGCGCTCTCGCTTTGGACTTCCTTGCAATGTACCACCAGATCACGGCTCCCGCTTGATATTCCCTTGCAAATTATTGAATAATCGCGCTCTCGCGTTGGATTTCCTCGCAACTTACCGCAAGATCGCGGCTCCCGCCTTATACGTCCACACAATTTATTCAGATGCCGCTCCTCGACACTGAGGAATCGCGCTCCCGCTACATATTGCCTGGCGGATAAACAGAACTTACGCTTCAACGACCCGCCCGCTCGACCCGCCCGTCTGGGTCTGCCTGCCCGACCAGCCCGTTAGGGACTGCAGTCGCCGCTCGCTGCCCGTCGCCCGCCTTCGATGCCCCTCGCTGCCCCTACTGGTTCCGCGGTCGCCTTCGCTCGCTGCCCTTCGTGGCCCCGTTGCTGCCGTCAGTGGCCCCTGCCCACTGCGGCCCCGCAATATATGCCCTTCGTGGCCCCCGCTCGCAGTCGCCCGCCGTGGCCCCATACGCATCCCCATCGTAGCCCCGCTGTCGCCCTCCGTGGCCCTCTCGCTGCCCTTCGCGGCTCCGTTGCTGCCCTCAGTGGCCCCGCTGTCGCCCTTTGTGGCCCCATATACGAATGCCCTTCGTGGCCCCCGCTCGTTCGCGCCCGTCGTGGCCCCGCACGCATGCCCTTCGTGGCCCCGCTATCGCCGTTCGTGGCCCCCTCTCTGCCCTTCGTGGCCCCGTTTCTGCTCTCAGCGGCCCCGTCGCTGCCCTCTGTGGCCCCGGATGAATTGCCCTTCGTGGCCCCCGCTCGCTCGCGCCCTTCGCGGTCCCATACGTATGCGTGTCTCGCCCCGCTATCGCCATTCGCGGCCCTCTCGCTGCCCTTCGTGGCCCA